TCTCTCTCTCTCTCTCTCTCTCTCTCTCTCTCTCTCTCTCTCTCTCTCTCTCTCTCTCTCTCTCTCTCTCTCTCTCTCTCTCTCTCTGTGTACCTCTACATCTCTCTCCATCTCTCCATCTCTCTTTCTCTGTGTTTATCTATCTATCTATCTATCTATGTATCTATAGATAGCTAGTTAGCTATCCAGCTATCTATCCTGTTAGCTCGCTAGCTTGCCATTTACTTGTATCTAACAGTCTGTTTATTCATATCCATGGATGTATGTTTCCATCCATTTCTCCATGCAACCAACCAGCTAACACATCTTCTATCTCCGCTGGCCAATCCATCGGATCTATCAGTTTCCCTGTTTCTCTGTCTATCCACTTAGCTATCTTGTCTACCTGTCTATGTCTCTCTATCTGTGCTTGGGCGTGCTCACGTGTGACCGGCCTTTTGTGTTTGATGCTGTGTTTGGGCCTCACTGCACTACTCCCGAAATGTGCAAAACGATAGTGAATCTTCTGCTAGAATATGGAAAGATACACCGTCAATATTTTTGTCTTTTGTGCATGATGTCGAGAGTAGTGCAGTGAGGCCCTTTGTCTCTCACTCAACTTGTTATTTTCTGGCTTTTTTTCCTCGTGTGTCTGTCAGGTGGTTGACTGCGGCTATGAAATGAGTGCATCTGCCCACGAAAGGTGGCAAAATGCACTCGTTACTATTTATAGCAAAACGATGATTCAGAACCTGGCCATTTTCTGCAGGAAGATGCACTCGTTTCGTTTTTCGTTTCATGTCCCGTGCCGCGACGCCCTATGCGGTTCTAGATTCGGCAACACAGGCAAAGGAGGGGCGTCTTCCACCCTAGAAGTAATCGCCAGCTGCAGTCCTGTACCTGGCCGAAAAAGACGTCCAGATGCGCAACAGAAAACAGCGATCAGAGGCTGCTGCGATCCGGATGCTCAGCAACACGGAACACTGATGAGATAGGGCCACGTTCAAGACCACCACACTACATTAGAAACTCGCTACACCACACTTGAACTCGAAGTGCGGCAGCGTTCCACAGTGCACTAGAATACCACAGCGCACTACTGTAGAGTTGTGCTAATCAGCTTCCGATCGTGATCAAGCTTCCCTCCTTCACCAAAGGCCGTCGCCCTTTAAAACAGAAAAGAATTAAGAAAAAGAGAAAGTGTAGGAGAATTATGTAGTGCAGCTGTAGTGCGGCCCAGGCAAACCGGGCCAAATTTTTAAGTCCCCCCCCCTCGGTCACTATACAATAAGTTAATAACCCATGTTGTATGCCTCGTGGAAACTGAGGGCCTCGCCAGGCCACACCCAGGCCCAGGCCAAAACGGGGAAAAGACCCCAGTGAAAGATTCAGGGCCTGAGCGAGGTACAGTTGACAAAAGTCAACTGTCGGAGATCCCAACAGTCAAAGTCAAAGTGTACCCAGCCCAGGCCGCCGGTCAGATGCACACATTTGTTTGTTTGCAAGTACCCCGACAGCATCAGGTCCAAAGGGAAGTCTGCAACTGTACACAATCCAGGCCCTCGGCTATGATTCAATCTGGTCAGACGCACTCATTTGTTTGTATGCAGGTACCGGGACAGCATCAGGTCCAAGGGGAAGTCTGCAACCGTACACAATCCAGGCCCTCGGCTATGATTCAATCTGAACGACTGTGAGGAGGGGACCCGCGGCCAGACAGCCTCGTCAAACACTACGAATGGACTGGTCTCGAGGTGGTCAACATTCAGTCTTGCTACCATGCTGCTTGGACGCTAGCTTGACTTCGACCAGACGCTGGCATTGACGCTGGCTCGAGGCTGGCTCGACGCTGGCTGTGCGCACGCACTGTGGACGGCGACGTGGGGTTGTGGCAGCATGCTGGCGCTTTCTGTTATGTGTGCCAGGCATTGCTGATGTGGCGTGCCACCTGTCTGCATTACTGATGTGGCGCTGCCACTTGTCTACCCTGCTGATGTGGCGCATACCACTTGTCTGCATTGCTGATGTGGCGCAGGCCACAGGTCTAGCGCTGCCATCTGCCTACATTGTGTTGCTGATGTGGTGCTGCCACCTATCTTCATTGATGATGTGGCGCATGCCGCCTGTCTCTACGTCTGATGTGGCATAGGCCACACTGTCTACATGAGGTGACTGGTTGTGACAAGGAGGGAGATCGGGATCTGTGGTTGATTGGGAACGGGTGCTCACCTGAGGTTGACGTCGCTACTATATTCTGCTGTTGTCTTCATGGTCTTCACGAGATCAGAGTGCGGACCTCCACTTAGTTTTACCCAAGCTTCATCCTGGCCATGGTTAGATCACCCGGGTTCCGGTCCATAGACAGTGACAATAGCCCTAAAAAGACTTGCTTTCGCTATGGCTCCGGTGGATAATTTCCCTTAACCAAGCCACTGCCTATGAGTCGCCGGCTCATTCTTCAACAGGCACGCCGTCAAAGACGCCACGTGGCACTCCTGTGTGATCAGGACTTATCAGACTTTTTTTTTTTTGGCTTGTAACTATTATTGATTGATGACGTGGAGGGAGAAGAAGCCCGGAGAAAGGAGTGGGATTGGTTGGGCTGTTATCGTGTGGTCTTTTATTATTTCTTCCGCCTTCTCCCTTGTCTATCCTCCCTCCATTCTCTCTTTTTTTTTTTTTTTCTTTTTCTTTTTTTTTTTTTCGTCTATTGGTAACGAGATACTGTTTCGGATATCACTTCACGATAACTGGAGACTTGTGCAGATCTGAGACTACTTGTGGTTTGACGTCTGACGAGTATCTGCCAGACTGGGTTCATTACAACTGGAGAATTCTAGGAGAAAAGGCACGCGCGCACCTTCAGGTTATTTTCCGTCCCCCTGATCATTAAAAAAAAAAAAAATCCCTTCTTCTTCCCTTTTTCCTTGCTACCTGCAGTGGATGTGGTCCGAAAAGAGTGCCGCACGTTTCGCGCTCTGTTTTTGGAGGGTGGAGTGTAGGATTAGGTGGAGAGAAGAAAGGACTGCTGTAGTAGGGTTTTTTTTTTTTTTTTTTAATCCTAAAAACCCAGGTTGTGTGTGTGTCCGTGTGTGTGTGTGTGTGTGTGACACTGTGTGTGTCTGTGACACTGTGTGTGTGTGTGTGTGTGTGTGTGTGTGTGTGTTTTAACAACCCCGTCCAGTGCTAGTGGTGCTGGTTCTTCACCCGAATACAATGTACGGTCATTATAGCTCTGTATTTGGGGAGTCTTTCCGGCTAAATACGGCAATAATGACTGTATGTTGTAACACGGGTGAAGAAGGTAGCACCTAGGGTTTGTTTAACTTCTCAATTCTGAGTGTAGTAGTGTAGAGGTGTGGAACGAGGGCCGTAGTCACACCAGGGCATTTTCAACCAACTTCTCTGTGGACGTAATTGCGGTCAGGTGCATGCAGGCGTGGTCAGGAAAGCTGCCATATACGTCCAACAACGTCCTGGTGTGAGTATGGCAGAAGCTCAGAAGCAGAAGACAAAAAAAAAAGCAGTCGTGTAGATCTAAGGGCATACTCACACTAGGACTTCCCTGGATCTATCTGATCAGAAATAGAGCAGCGGCTGGATGCACCTGACCGCAATTCCGTCCAGAGCTGGATGCACCTGACTGCAATTCCGTCTAGAGCTGGATGCACCTGACTGCAATTCCGTCCAGAGCTCACTCAAAAAAGTCCTTGCATATGTTTTATATGCGAGAACTACTTTTCGTGGTAACTTTTGAAATCGGGAGGGACTTAGCCACTAGGAGTTTTCCTGGATGGATGTATCTGACCGAAATTAGAGCAGCACGTGCATGTATCTGACTGCAATTACGTCCAGAGTTCAGTGGAAGAAGTCCCATTGTGTGAGGAGTATACTCGGTGCAAGAACTACTGGACTTTTGTTGTTTGGTCATTTTTTAAATCTGGACGGAATGAGAGCAAGCGACAAGTGTAGCCTACCGTCTTCACCCGAATAGAACGCGCGGTCATTATCGCTGCATCGGGACCGAAAGTTGTGCCAAAAAATACAGATATAATGACCGGGCGCGTTCTGTTCGGGTGAAGACGGGAGTACTACGCAGTCGATAGGCGAAGGGCCGAAAGAGAAGCCAGGCATGAGAGTAAGGCTGCGAGAGCATTCTGCTGCCAAGCGTCTTCGTAGCGGCCGTCCTCTTGAGGAGCAATTGGAGGGCATTGTGGTCCTGGATTTCGAGACGGCCTTCCGAGGGAGTCTCTTTGAGAAGTACCATATCCTTCCTCTTCAGGTAGCTTGCCTAGACACCAGTGTTCTCCGCTTTGACTTGCTTTATCAGCTTGACCAGTTCAGATACGAACATGAACTTAGTCGTCATCATGACCAGATTATGGATATCGATACATTCGTCCGTGAGTTTGAAGAGTTCTGCAAGCTCCAGGGCGGTCGTTGCGAAAAGCACGAAGAAGACGCAGAACAGGAAGAAGAAGAAGAAGAAGAAGAAGAATACTCTGCTGCAGCAGAGGCACTGAAGGCCTTCTTCCTCGCTCACCGAAATGCTATGAACTTGGACATACAAAACAATAACATGGAGCACAGCCGTCACCCCCATCGTAATGCGGGCCGCCATCGTCAAGATGGGCAACAAGGTTGTAATCGCAGGGATAGTGATGGCGGCTATGGATTTCCTGGACGTGGCGATCTTCTTGTTGTTGGCTATGGTGGCTTTGGTGGTGGCAACAGTGCCGGAGGCTACCATGGTGAACGTGGCTATGGTGGTCCCCACAGTGCTGGTGGCAATGGAAGTGATGTTGCTCATGCCGATGGCGGCTATGGTGGCTATGGTGGCTTTGGTGGCCATAGCCAAGATGCTGAGGGAGATGGTCACCATGATAAGGGAGGTGAAGTTGTGGAGGAAGGTTGGGAGGAGTTTCCAGATCCCAACCGAAGTTCTCTTTATGGAAAAACTTCACTGCTGGACTATCTCTTTCTCCATGTGGAAGAATTCTACGAGTTCTGGGACTCGCGTCGCACTGTCCACCTTACCCGATTAGGAAAGAACGAACTGCTAGCGCATGAGAGTGACGACGCCATAGCTCAGCAGCTGATTGGGTTCGCTAAGCTGCAAGGCGTTGACAAGTCCCGCCGGCGGAAATGGCGGGTTGAGCTGATGGACTACGATCTGGTAGGAACGGAAGGCGAGTGCCTTCCGCTGCGAATGTTCTTCTGGCAAGGACAGGGCCACACTGGTTGGTCTGCCGACGTCTGGACCCGGGATCGCAACACGCGTGTAGTTCTCATTGCGAAGGTCCGACCCAATGACAGCGAAACTGTGGTAAAGGTTATGGACACCAACTTGGAGGTAGCAGAAGGTCGGTACAGACCTCATGGAGATGTCCCAACTATGCTTCATCTTACCCGCCCATTGCGCCTAATCGACCGAGGGGTTGAACCGGAGTTGGCCCTCAAGGATTATGTGTGTGAGCATAGGCTGCTTCGCGCTGCAGTCGATGATCGGGACCACAATCATGATCCTGGTCCCATTCTGGGACCAACAGCAGTTGACTGCAGGGACCAGTTGCCACGTCAAGGGTTAGAAGCCGAGTCAGCGCTCAACCCGATCCAGCCTAAGGGGAATATCAGTGAGAACTCTCGGACCGATTCACTGCCACAGTGCCATCATCGCAGTCCTTTTCCGGGACCACAATCGGTTCCCTGGAGGGACCAGGTCATAGATCAACGGCTCCAACCTGTGTTAGCGCTCGACTATCGACCTAAGGGGGGGGATATCGGTGAAAACTCTGGGACCCCTCGCCGTGGTCCCTTGCTGGGACCACCACCAGTTGCCTGCAGGGACCAGGTCATAGATCAACGGCTCCAACCTGCGTTAGCGCTAGATTATCAACCTGAAGGGGGGAATATCGGTGAAAACTCTGGGACCCCTCGCCGTGGTCCCTTGTTGGGACCACCACCAGTTGCCTGCAGGGACGAGGTTATAGATCAAGTGATTGAACATCAGTTATTAGCAGCATTCGACGATCAACCCAACGGGAGGGATATCAGTGAAAACTCTGGGACGGGTTTGTGGGGACAGCCCGATCAATGCGATCATCACGGTACATTCTTTCTGGGACCGCCGACTTTTGGAACTAAGGACTGGAAGTCTCTGGTACAGCTGTATGAGGCTTCTGTTCGTCTGGATGATCTCCGATACAGCGGTGAATCTGAGATCGAACGGCTGATTCCTGTTGCGGCACGAATGAGGGACTTGGTGCTCGTGTCGATGGACCACCGGTACTTTAATTATATTGCCACTGAGCTCAGACTTCATCGTTCCACTCTGAAAGACTCTCTGCAGCTGACCTGCACGCAATTCACGCGCATCTTCGAGGGATCGGGATCGCCATGGGAGCGACTCCCGGAAGAACTCGTCCTGCGTATCGTCCAGTTTCTGCTGCCGCAGCGACTTCTCTTCCGACCTCTTCTTAATGATCAGAATAGCGCTCTGTTCCGCTTTGGTAGACGGCAATGTTTGCGTTGAGTGTGTAGTTGGGTTGGGGAGAAAAGGGTCTCTGCTCCCGTCGGTCTTGAGGTGTCAACGTCGAACTGACCTGCTGAAGGTTAACTCAAGAGTTAAAATCTAAGTTGTCTAAGTCAAGCACGATTCCAACTTAGGGGGGGGGGTTGGGGGTCTACCTTCTTCCACCGAATACAACCTACGGCCATTATTGCTACAAGCAGACCCGCCGCAGCTACACTGCCGCAATCATTGCGCAAAAAAGCATCAAGGGCGCCATAGACAGGGAACAGAGAAATGCATGAGCGGCCACAGAAGACAACACAGGATGTGAAGAGAGAAAAAGAAAGAGGACAGACAGGAACTATGTCGCGGAAAATGCATGATTGTCCATGGCAAATGTTTGAGTAAAGAGCGAAAATTTCTCTCTCTCTCTCTCTCTCTCTCTCTCTCTCTCTCTCTCTCTCTCTCTCTCTCTCTCTCTCTCT